AAAGAACTCCTCAAAGAAGGTCAGAGGCTGAGTGGCTATCTGTCGGGAGGGATTACATGGTGCTTTTCCTGGTTGGAGGCAAAAGGGGTGGGGCTGGATGTCCTTTGGGGATCTCTAGGAGTCTATTATTAGCAGGGAATGGATGGCCATCTGTCAGGAGGGCTTGGATAGTGTTTTCTTCTATTATCATTATCATTAATATTATTATCATTATTATTATTGTTGTATAGGGCCTGTTAGGAATTGTGGGAGTTGAAGAAGTCCAAAACACCTGGAGGGGGGGGGGGGGGGGCCCGAGTTGTCCCATGCCTGGTGTAATCCCTCCCGGCAGATGGCCAGCCCCTCCCTCCCGCTCCCGCAAGCCCCGCCCCCTCAGGCCTCCTCCTTTCCTCACCGCCCCAGATGCCCAGCTTGAGCTGGGACTTGTTCAGGTTCTCCACGTAGCCGCCCAGGAAGCGGTTGAGGAGGTCGGCCACCACCGACTCCAGCACCATGGCTGATGAGGCTGAGGCTGAGGCTGTTGAGGGGACGCTGCTCCTCCTCCTCCGGCTCCCACGCCGCCACTGAAAGCCCGCCCGGCGACACCGCGCATGCGCCAAACCCCTCCCGCAGCGGGTGGTTTAATTCTTCCCTCCTCTCATAGGACGAAGCCTCTCCCCTCCTCTGATAGGGCCAAGCGTACTGTCTGTCACTTTCTCCTCCCGCCCCCTGCTGCTTGAGAGGGAAAAGAGACGCATGCGGAGACTCTTCTTATTCCCTTCACATGAGGGGAGTTGTGTGCGCATGCGCGGACTCACTCACTCTTCTTTCCGTGAGGGAAAGAGAGGGAGTGAGTCTGCGCATGCGTACACAACTTCCCTCCTCTGATAGGTCAAAGCTTCTACCCTCCTCTGACAGCCCCAAAGTTCTTCTCTACTCTGATAGGCCGGCGTGTCCCATCCATCACTATCTCCTCAGCCTTTCTTCGTCCCGCCCTCTTTCTTCTTCCCTCCTCTGATACGTCGGCGTGTCCCGTCTATCACTTTCCCCTCCCGCACCTTGCTCCTTGAGAGGGAAAAGAGGCGCTTTTTCGCGCATGCGCAGATTCTTCTCATTCCCCTCACCTGAGGGGAGTTGTGTGCGCATGTGCAGACGCGCTCTCTTCTTTTTCCTGGCAGAAGCCAAGTTCAACGACCTTTCAATCAGTTTAAGTCAAGGCCTTCATCACTTTTGGAAGTATTGCAGGAAGAATATTGTTATATGTACTTAAAACTTTTTGAAAAACCCATGCAAACCATTAAAAATAGTTAAAAGCATCAAAACCAATAATAATGAAAAACATTGGCCATCCAGCCTCTGTTTCAAAGCTTCCAAAGAAGGAGCCCTCACCACACTCCGGGGCAGAGAGTTCCACTGCTGAACGGCTCTCACAGTCAGGGAGTTCTTCCTCATGTTCAGGTGGAATCTCCTCTCTTGTAGTTTGAAGCCATTGTTCCATTGCGTCCTAGTCTCCAAGGAAGCAGAAAACAAGCTTGCTCCCTCCTCCTCCCTGTGGCTTCCTCTCACATATTTATCCATGGCCCTCATCATATCTCCTCTCAGCCTTCTCTTCTTCAGGCTAAACATGCCCAGTTCCCTAAGCCGCTCCTCATAGGGCTTGTTCTCCAGACCCTTGATCATTTTAGTCCCCCTCCTCTGGCTTGTAACTCTATCGAAAAAAGAGATCAGATGAGTCTGGCATGACTTGTTTTTGATCAATCCACATTGACTATTAGCGATGACCGCATTTGTTTCTAAGTGTTTGCAGACCGCTTCCTTGACCATCTTTTCCAGAATCTTGCCTGGTATCGACGTGAGGCTGACCGGACATTGGTCATTGTTTGGGTCATCCTTTTTTCCCTTCTTGGAGATTGGGACCACATTGGCCCTCCTCCAGTCTGCTGAAACTTCTCCCGTTCTCCAAGAACTCTCAAAGATGGTTGCCAATGGTTCCGAAATGACTTCCGCTCATTCCTTCAGTACTCTTGGGTTTAGATGATCTGGTCCTGAAAGGGAACTTGAACCCATTTAGAGCGGCCAGGGATTCCTGGACGACTTGTTTCCCAATTTGGGGTTGGATGTCCTCTAATCCCTCATCCACTCCGTCTTGCTGAGGTTGGAGATGACTTTCTTTTTGTGAGAAGACCGAGGCAAAGAAGGCATTAAGTAGTTCTGCCTTTTCCCTATCCCTTGTCAGCATTGCCCCATCTTCTCCTCGAAGAGGCCCTATCGCCTCCTTGTTTTTCCTTTTTCTACTGACATAAGAAAAGAATCCCTTTTTATTGTTTTTAATGTCCCTGGCAAGCCTGAGCTCGTTTTGTGCTTTAGCCTTGCGGACCTTTTCCCTACAGGTGTTGGCTATTTGTTTGAATTCTTCTTTGGTGATTTCTCCCTTTTTCCACTTCTTGTGCATGTCTCTTTTGTGTCTTAGCACAGTTAGAAGTTCTTTGGACATCCATTCTGGCTTCTTTGCACTTGTCCTATTTGTTCTCTTTGTTGGCACAATTTGCAAATGCGCCTTGAGTATTTCACTCTTGAGAAATTCCCATCCATCCGTAACTCTCTTATCTTTTAGTATCTGTGTCCATGGAATGCTGCTCAGCGTTTCCTTCATTTTTTGGAAATCAGCTCTCCTAAAGTCCAAAATGCGGGTTTGACTTGTCTTAGTTTCGGCCTTCCTTTGTACCTCAAATTGCAGGAGCACATGGTCACTTGCCCCTAAGGATCCCCAGCAACCGGAGACATAAGGTCAGCGACCACATACACCTATCCTTAAAGGAATTACCCCTAAGGATCCTCCGACCACACCACCACTCTCTTCGATCCGCTCGGTCGCCATCGAATCAGGTCCCTCCCCGCATTTTGTTATTTAGGATGTGATGATCAAGAGAGTATCAAGAGTAGGAGTAGCCCACCCCCTCTTGTTGCATTTATACTTCGGGACCATGAAATGAATGAAATGGAATGAATATGAGAAATTCGACTGAAATTGCCTGAAAGGCAATGAAATATGAAATTTAAGAAAAGCGAGGGGAGGGAAAGGAAAAGGAGGAATTGGTTGTGGAGACTTTTTCAACCTTGTATTTGGCCCGAGATAGTAGTAGAGTTTGTACGAAGTTTCCTCCGACACAGTTTCAACGTTAGAGGTTCCCGAGAGTTTCTAGGTCAGTTTAGTCCGGAGTTGTTTTCCAGCAGCAGCCCCCAAATATCGGGGGGAGGATAGGGATCGGGATAACGAGGATGTTGGACCTTGTACTCTTGGTCGAGTTTGTTTTCCAGCAAATATCGGGATAGTTGAAATCGCCCATGACTACTACATCTCTTCTCTGTGCCTGTTTGGTCAACTGTTGGCAGAAGACTTCATCAAGTTCTTCCTCCTGGCTTGGAGGTCTGTAGTAGACACCTACAACGACATCTTTTTGAGTCCCAGTTCCCTTGATTCTTATCCAGATGGTTTCAAGCTGGTTTCCCGGATTGCTGTCATGCATCCACTAAGGCGACCAAGACTGTTTCTGTTCCATGTCCTGGTCTGAAACCAGACTGTGCCGAATCCAGATAATCCGTGTCTTCCAAGAATACCTGGAGTTGTGAAGCCACCACACGTTCCAGGACTTTGCCCAAAAAAAGGGGAGATTGGCAAATAACCTGCTCCTATTTTTATCTCATTATAGAATCATAGAATCAAAGAGTTGGAAGAGACCTCATGGGCCATCCAGTCCAACCCCTCTGCCAAGAAGCAGGAATATTGCATTCAAATCACCCCTGACAGATGGCCATCCAGCCTCTGCTTAAAAGCTTCCAAAGAAGGAGCCTCCACCACACTCCGGGGCAGAGTGTTCCACTGCTGAACGGCTCTCACAGTCAGGAAGTTCTTCCTCATGTTCAGATGGAATCTCCTCTCTTGTAGTTTGAAGCCATTGTTCCATTGCGTCCTAGTCTCCAAGGAAGCAGAAAACAAGCTTGCTCCCTCCTCCCCCCTGTGGCTTCCTCTCACATATTTATACATGGCTATCATATCTCCTCTCAGCCTTCTCTTCTTCAGGCTAAACATGCCCAGCTCTTTAAGCCACTCCTCATAGGGCTTTTTTCTCCAGACCCTTGATCATTTTAGTCGCCCTCCTCTGGACACATTCCAGCTTGTCAATATCTCTCAATTGTGGTGCCCAGAATTGGACGCAATATTCCAGGTGTGGTCTAACCAAGGCAGAATAGAGGGGTAGAGCTAGACACTATGCTCCTATTGATGCAGTGGTTTTCATGGGTTTGTGGTCTAACCAAAGTAGGAGGGGTAGCATTATTCCTTAGATCTGGACACTAGGCTCCTATTGATGCAGGCCAAATCCCATTGGCTTTTTTTGCCCACATCACATTGTTGGCTCATGTTTAACTTGTTGTCCACGAGGACTCCAAGATCTTTTTCACACGTACTGCTCTCGAGCCAGGCATCCCCCATTCTGTATCTTTGCATTTCGTTTTTCCTGCCAAAGTGGAGTATCTTGCATTTGTCACTGTTGAACTTCATTTTGTTAGTTTTGGCCCATCTCTCTAATCTGTCAAGATCGTTTTGAATCCTGCTCCTGTCCTCTGGAGTCTTGGCTATCCCTCCCAATTTGGTGTCGTCTGCAAACTTGATGATCCTGCCTTCTAGCCCTTCATCTAAGTCATTAATAAAGATGTTGAACAGGACCGGGCCCAGGACGGAACCCTGCGGCACTCCACTTGTCACTTCTTTCCAAGATGAAGAGGAAGCATTAGTGAGCACTCTCTGTGTTCATCCACTTAACCAATTACAGATCCACCTCACCGTAGTTTTGCCTAGCCTACATTGGACTAGTTTCCAAACTGGCCGATAGTTGACAAATTGAGTGGGGTCCAGTGATGGTATTATATATCTACCATAGGTTGGAAGTGACTTGAAAAAAAAGTATGGGATAGGAAACAGCATAGGCTCAAAAGGAGTTAAAGGTACACAATAAGCAACAAACAAAATTAAAGTGGTATCAAACTGCATTAATTCTGCAGTGTTGATGCACACTCACTGGAATGTGATTTCTAGCACTTCCAGAAGGAGGCAGTCGGGTTGCATCCAAAACAAAGAAGCGGCTGCTATATTCAATACTAAAAGCTGGAAAAGACAGGAATAAAAATCTCACAAAAGGATATACGGCTAGATTCGCTGTCATACTAAAAACATTGCGGTTTTTCTCTCTCTTTATAGCCACTCAAGACAGATTAAACACCTGGGGTAAAAGCAAGATGGGTCAATAGCTCAAAGGGGCATTATATTCGATCAATATCTTTGCTCATCTGGAAAAAAATAGGTGTAAATGTCACTGGAGCATCTGGGATCTATTTTTACCTCCAAACCTGGTTTGTTTTCAAAACAGAAGCAACACAGGTTGCGAAGGGAAGATAAGCAGGTGATTGATCATCGATCAATAAGTATAAATTTCACAAAATCAGTGCTGTCTCATATTGACATCTGCCTAATGACTGTGTCACCTTACTTGGATCTGCGCGCATCATTCAGAAATACATCACACAGTCCTAAACACTTGGGAAGTGTTCA